CACTCGAGTGTTCCTAGAAGGAAGGAGGATGGTGTCATAAAGGATGGTCATCAGCCCTGAGTCTGCGTGGTCTGGGCAGGGATTATAATCTACCCACAGCCAGTGCCATTCTGCTCCCCAAGCCCCAGGCCTAACCAGGCACAAGGTTTCTTTCTGGATTGGCTCACCTGGGGGTCCGCAGTGAGGTGGGTTAGAGCCGGGTGGCGTCCGGGTACCAGGGACTTCATGACCGTCGGGGTTCACGCACCAGCAGAAGCCGGTGCTGCCGTGGCACTGCAGTGGCAGGAAGTGGCCCTGCTCGTCACACTGGGGGATGTGGATCCTGACGCCCGGGTAGAGGTGCTGAGCCTGGGCGGCGCGCTGCTGACGCTCACAGGTTTTCAGTCCTGAGGTGGTGTCTTCAGGGCGGGGGCAGAGGAGACACAGGAGGAGGAGGAGGAATAAAAGGCATTGCTACCCACCTGCTTTTATGAGCCAACCTCAAGGTCTCCTGTCGGAGGCTTTTTCTTCCATAGTTGGAAGGCAGCATAATGTGGGAAAATGAGCAAGTTACTGGGAATTTGGAGTCCTGGATTCTTATTTTAGCTCTGCCACTAACTTCCCAATACCTCCCTAATTCTCGCAGTCTGCCCTGTAAGTGCCTAGGCTAACTTTACTGTGAAGCAGCCCCTCCCGTCCGCCTCTAGCTCCTGTTGCTGTCTGGATAAAATGAAGAGCAGCCGTGGCTTTGGTCCAAACATCCCAGAGGCTCAGGAGGAAACAGTTTGGCTTGTCTCCTGAGTCCAGAGTTTAAGTCTGAGGAGCCCCAGGTCAACAGCTGTCACTAGACTGCCCCTCGGGCCAAGTCCCAGAGCAGTCATAGGGGAGGCTGCGCCCAGCTCACCAGAGCACAGCACTCCTGCTTAGTAACCTGAGTCTCAATACTTCTAACTCGCACTTATCAAGGCAAAGCAGGTCATTAGGGCCGTTAACCAGAACTGCTCATAGGTAGGACAATGGATGGGCCACACCCAGGCCTCCCAGAATTCGAATAGCTGTGAACAACAAACCGAGCCCTGGTGGTAACTGGGAAATAACCAGAGCCTGAAGATCCACTAACTACAGCCTCCGACCAGAAATCAAGAGTGGGCTGAAGTGCTATAGAAAAATAGTGCTGAAGGAGCCAGTTCTCTGTGCCTAATCTGGCCTCCCCCTTACCAGGTGTGCACTGAAGTCCGTCCCCATGATAGCCAGGCTGGCAGCGGCAGGAGAAGGAGCCGGGGGTGTTGTAGCAGGTAGCCGAGGGGTGACATCTGTTCTCCAAGCACTCATCAACATCTGCAGTGTCAGAACAGGGGCGGGGGTAGGGGGGGTAGAGCATGTGACTTCACTGCACTCAATCTGTGCTACTACCTGGCCTTTAGTACAGGAGGATCAACCATGAGGATCAACTTCAGAAGACCTTTGGGCATGAGCAGAAATTACTGACACTGAAAGGTACGCCTAACAGTACAAGGTCAAGGCTGTGTTAGTCCATTCGAATGTTCAGTGTAGAAATTAAACATGTGGTCACTCAGAAAAATAGATCCTGCAGTATATTTCTACAGCAGTTTCATCTACAGTAAAGTCCAAGAAGTTATTACCTGCGAACTAACCTTTAGACTATAAATCATTAATTCCTCTCAGTAACACTACAATAAACATATGTAACAATGGTTTTCCCTTTTGTTGCTGGTACCATGTCCCTGTGGCACTGATTTATGGGTGCAGAGAAGCCCAATGAGGTTTCAACAAAGTTAGAAGCACATACAGTCTTGCCCAGTCAGAGTCCTACTGTCTAGAATGCCCAATTCATCAGAAATTTTTCTTTGCTTTCGACTTTCAGAAGAAATAGAAAAGTATAGAAAAATATTATCAGAGGTTTCGATACAACACATTAAAAAAACTAAATTTATCAGGCTTACAAAGTCCAAAAATTCAGAAACCCCACCACCACACACACACTCTACTACACAGCACCATGAAAATTTTCCTATTTCTCAAACCTACAACAACCTGAAACTTCAAACAAAAGCCAACTTCTAGTCCTCCTATTTTATTTACTGAAATCAGACAATAGCAAAAAAGAAAACCATCTCTGAGAGTCTGCTAAAACCAATGCCCAGTGGTTGAGATAAGCTGTCTTCACAGACAGGAAGTCTTTGAGAGTTAAGAGAGGCTAAGGGTGTAGGTCTGATCAAGGCTCCACTGAAAATAGTCACATCCACAATGACATCCAAAAACTGGTTTCAAAACGTGTAAATAGGAAACATGTGGATGGGATGATCAGTGTGACACCAAGAAAACAGGAATCCCAGAAGTGAACTGCAACAACTTGGTACAACCCAGGGCGGGGACTCATGGGACCGGGAAGCCAGAGACTTACAGCCTGAATTGGATGTGAGTTGGCTGAGGACAGACGTGGCTCCTCACCCAGCCTCCCGGGACCCAGATGGAATCTCTTCTAGAGTTATCAGCGCCTTCCTGCCTGTGACCACACTCTCACTGAGCCACTCCTGTCCCGGTACCAGCAAGCAGACACACTGGTCATGCAACACAGACCTTCTGTTCACAGGAGAGGAATCTCTTCCATTGTAATTAGCAAATTAGCATTCCTCAGTCTCAGGGGAGGTTAGTCAACATAAATTAGCTCCCTGTAGTCCAAAAAAGTCCTCAACGCTCCACACAACCAAGTTTAATGCCACCCAGAAAGGCTCTGCTCAGATGAGCAATCGGCCTCCATGGTCAACTTCCTTTCACCTGCAAAGGCAAAAATGTAGTTATAACTTCATCTGAAAAGTTAGAAACAAGGTTTTCTGGTGAGCTCCTCAGTTAACCCGAAGTAAACCAAATGAAAACAATTACAAGGAAAACCTTCTCTCCAATGTAATGAATAGGAGCTGCACATTGTCAAATTTAGTCATCCTTGAGATCGTCTCTTCCAAAGCACAAGTCAAATTCCCAGTTGGGCAAAACTGGTGACCATCCAGTTCCTTGGGCCTGGAAGAGGCTATGAAACCAAAGCTGTAAAAATTAACGTCCAGCCAAAGGCAGGAAATGAAAGCTATTCAGAATACATATGCTAAAAGTACTTCTCCTGGTAACCGGAACCCAGGCAATGGCAGGAAGCAGGAATTCCTGAGACACGGCCTATTTCTAGAACTCACGGATCAGTTTCTTGTGATTATTTTTTGAACTCAGAGGGGACTCCCCAGAGCTACCAAGTTACCTATGTTCTTTAAGCCTATGGTCTAGAATTCTGATCAGACCTAAAAGAGCAGCCATCCTCCCCGCAGACACTGAAGTCCTGGGGAGACAGGAACTGCAATAAATGCCCAACAGGGAAAAGTCCCTCAAGAGACTAAAAAGCATCACAAGTGAGAAACGCTTATCCCCCCAAATCTGGAGAAGGTTAAGGCTCCCCGGAGCACAGTCCGTGCCACCTCCTTGGAGGAGCTTACACCACGTCCAGTCAGCCACTCCACGTCCCGAGCTCAGAGCAGGCTGTGGCCCCCTCAGGAGGGCCAACACTGCGGGCTTCAGGGGTAACTGGGGCTTTTGTAAGGAGAAGAACTCTTCCCTATTTCACAGGGTGTCAGGAGAGAAAGTATGGAAAGGTTTCCAGCCCCTTGCCAAGGGAGGGGCTTTCCTTGTACCCCTGGGGGAGGTTTATGCTGAACAATCACTGTCAGGGTCTTTGGGGCTGTGAGAACACTGAGGTCATGACAGCAGTGTGCAAGGCGTGGTAGAGCTCCTTCACCACTCAGATAGCACAGGGTGGCGCAGCCTCAGCAGATAGTACTTCTCCTTTCCAGCATCTATTAAGCTGGCAAAAAACAGTTTGGAAAATGTGTTGAAAATCCTCCATTTTGACTTCATGCTTTGGTGCTTCCACATTCTCTCACTGCCCTAATTCTAAGCACACACCCAAAACCAGCTGAAATCCCTTCAAAACAAACCCAACCAATGGATTCTAGCTCCCTCCTTCCTTCACTCCTCTGTCTGCTTTGCTTTCGAACCCACAGTGAAATTTCCTGGTGCCAATTAACCTGCCTCCCACTCCAGACCCCCAGTAAGGGCCCACAAGTTCTCACTCCCCACCCATCTGGTCAAGCATCCTTCTGGTTGTGGCCCTGCATGGCACAGGGTGAACTCTTCTCTGGTCCTATGAGAATAATAAACTTCCTCCTTTTAAGTCTTGTTCTCTTCTCCTGTGGCTGCACCAGCGTTACCTTACCTTACTCAATAGAATATCCTTAGAACAGAAAACCTGTGACAATAATCTAAGCACCTCCTCTCCTGGCCCTGCTGAGCGGTGATGGGCCTGGGTGATGGGCCATCTGGATCCCATCTCCTCAACTCACACTTGCTCCTCCCTGGAAAGGTCCAACTCAAGACAATCTGTTTTTGCACCGGCAAAATGGCCAAGGCTCTATAAGGACAAATGTGCCTGAGGAACATCTGATTCAACACAGGACTGAGACCAACACAGGGCTGATCCAACACAGGGCTGAGGAATGATTTAATTCAACTTGGATAAAATGGTTCCTGCTAGTGACTCAGACTAGATTGAGAACCTAAAGCCAAGTGCAGCCTCTCCAGGGAACCAGGATTTTAAATACCTGGAGAAAATAAGCACACACCCTTTTATTGCTAGTTTGATGGAATAAAAAGGTGTGCTTTAAGAATGCATGCTCTCCACAAAACCGAGCCCTTATCTCTATTTTTCTGTATTTTTTCTATTTATCTCTATGGCCACTGGGACACATGCCTTAAAATACACACACACACAAGTGCGCGCGCACACACACACACACACACACACACA